TGGGTTTATGTCTCTTTATCACAATCTGTAACCCACTAGCCCTCCTTTGACCTATGACTGCAGTAATGTTAATAGCCCACTTTATTTTGAATGGTCCCTTGCAAATATGTGTTACCACCTATGCTTAACACTCTGTTCCACCTTGTATTTCCCTGTGACACTGTGAGTACCTTTCCCAGACCTGAAGAAGAGCTCTGTGTAGTTAGTTTCAAAGCTTCTCTCTGTCTCTTCCACCAACTGAAGTTGGTCTAATAAAGGATATTGTCTCACCCAGTTTTGCTATCATGAATCTGGAGTGACAGTCAAGCTTTAAACGACCACATTAATTCTGTCACATCTCAGGAAAAATCTCATTCATTGGAGACAAACCCATCCCACCCAATACCTTTTGGTTTAAAGGAAGGGGCTGTGAGATAGGGCCCAGGAGACTGTAAATTCAAGTTTCTTCCTATTGGTGTTTATTTTTCTATGCAGATGACAACACTTACAATCAAGCAGGGCCTCACCCTGCTACCCAGAAGGCAAACCACTATCATTTCACCATTTTGGAAAGACAGGAAGTAAAAGATTGCATAAGCTCACTTCAAGAAGTACTGGGACTAGGACCATGGCCTCAAATGACAATGCCAAAAGTTATCCACTTAGCCACATTACCTTTAAGAAGTGCCTAACTCTATGGATCTATGTAACCCACAATGTAATCCAAGAGTGGCTTGCTAGGGATATCACAGTGTTAGGCAAGGATGCTGTGTAGCCTTAAAACCTCAACTCAGAAGCAGGTGGGGCAAGGGTCCCTGTCCAGAGACCAGTGACAGCAGAGAGCAGAGACATGGTTGGACACTCCTGGAATGGACCACGGAGGGGATAATACAGGTGTAGTTACCCTGAAATCATGACAACCACTATTCTACCCACTAGACTACACACTACTCTTAGAGCCAAGAATCCTGATATGCAACATTGCTCTGTGACCCACTGACAAATTGGGTCATATGTCCTCTTTCAGAAATTGGTCCACACACAAAATAACATCCTAATTCTGCAACCACCATGGTAAAGGTCTGTGCTGTAGATTTGAATGTTCTGGGTTCACACCTTACTAACCACTCATATGGGGAAAAATAGTATGTGTTCATGTAATTGAAGATTGCATCCTTTTTTATCTGTACGAGGGTGTAGTATTAAGGTTGCCTGGGTAACCATAATTCTGGCATTTACTGTCTTCTGAGTTCTTTATTTTGCAACTTTAATGTTTTTTTATTTAGATATATTTTGAAAGTACAAAAACTATATATAAATATAGGACACCTCAGGTTTATTGAGGCCCCTGGAATAATTGTAATTGTTGAAATGATTTTAAATTGCAAAATCTTGTGTTCAGTAGTGAATTTGGATGTTGCATTAATATTTATTTTATTGTCGTATCTTTATTGTTTGTGTTTTGATTCATGAAAACTGTCCTTTTTAAGAACATGGTGGGGCAATTGATTGTAGTGTGTGTTTATAGAAGACTGAGAACAGTGTGTGGAGATTTTGCTTGTGTGTACAGAGAGTAGAAAACACTGCCTGTGTAATTTCCAAAAATGTCAGAACTTGATTTAATAAATGTATCTTTCAAGAAAACACACATTTTTGAAGCACACATTAGCATTTACTTGGGGTGGATACTGCAAGATATTGCTAAAGAGCTACAGAGCCTTTCACCAGTTTGAATCTAGTCCAGCTCACTAGGTAGTAAAAATTGTTGCCATCTAATGGATGTTTGGTGGCCCCTAAATGAGATATGTTTATGGGTCTCAGTTTCAGCTCCTATTCTGTACTTATCCTGCACTCATCACCATAGTATCTGACTCTCTACATTGCAAAATAATCACCAACCTTTGTATTATTGACAAATTCACCACAGAAGCCAAGATCTTTATCAACTTTTCTTGAGACATGCTGGCAGAGCAGTGTATGTGGGAAACCTGCCCTATTGCTGCCTTGTAAACTGAGGGATTTCCAGGTGGCCAGGTCAACACCATCCACTAGCAACAAATCCACACAGCTTTTGTAAACTGCAGTAAAATTATAGGCAACTTATTTGCAGATATGCAAATTCACTCACTAAATCATTTGTATATCATGCCAAATATGGAGCCGCACAAAAATTGGCAGCTATGCAGCTTTCTAATTTTACATTTTATTTATATAACCACACAGGTGGATAAGAAAAAAGGGGTCACTGATTTAAATGTTCTATGTTTTTGCACAGCTAATGAGATATAAGGAGGATGGCAGTCAATAGTTTAACTTCCTTGGTTCTTTGTCTATCTGGCCCACAACTAATAAAGCCACATAAAGGACAAAGAAATATATAGTTATTTGGCACCATCTGGTGGTTCAAGGTGCACTTTACAGAACCATAGAGATGGCAAGAGCCTAGACCATGCCCTGCCTGTGCAAGATTGTTTCCTATACTTTATTTATTTCTTTGTCTCCTACTGTTTGTCATACCCACTTGTTGCATTTTGTTTCAAGTTTGATTGTAAGCTCTTTGGGGCAGGGACTCAATGTGTGTCTGTTTGCATGGGACCTAGCACAACAGGGCCTTTTGGTGCTCACATAATAAAATAAATAATACTAATTAATAGGATTTTGTCCAGTCTTGTTTCAGTCTCCCAAGCAATAGGGTTCTCTCTCTTCTCTTTGATGGCTATTCCACACCAATCAGAAAGAGAAGATTAAGCACAGCATGTTTAAAATGTTTTTGACTACATTGTGGAGAATGTAAATTTTATACAGAATCTTCTAAATTATCTCACCAGACCAGATCACTGGTTCATCCGGGCCAGTATCCAACCTTCTGCAGGCATTCTACCTGATGCTTCAGAAGAAAGAAAAAGGAAATCCACAACAAATCTGGCTAATTTACAATGCAGGAAAGGACACATTTCCTTCCTGATTTCCCTGAAGGAGATTTATGCCTAAAAGCATAAGGCTTGCTCAATGCCCATGTTGATGTTCCAGATTAGGCAAAAATGAGATGTCAAATTTTGCTTCTTAGGTGGTGAGTGGCTAATTGGTGTGAATGAACAGAAGTGCAGGAATTAAATCAACCGTGAAGTGAAACTTTGGTCCCGTTGAAGACAATGGCAAAAATCCCTTTGACTTCAGTTGGGCCAGGATTCCACCCATGGACAATAGTAAACCTCACACAAATTCTCAGTACAATTATTTCCTGTGGATAGTCTTAGAGCCAGCAAGGCATTCTTCTCCTGCAGGAGGTGCTCTGAGTTCAGCTGTCTATGTTTCTCATGACCTTGGTGGACTCTAGGGCTCACCCAGGTACCGGGTGCATATCAGCCTATGAAATGGGAGACTTAACTAGAGACAGAATTTTGCTTGGCATGCAGGGGATATAAAAGGAGGCTTGCTAATGGAGTTCCAGAGGGCATGCTGTGAGAGTGAGAGACAGTAGCAGAGATGGTGGGACAGATGCCCTGACACTATTTCAGACCACAGGATAATTCAGTCACCAGGATTAATACAGAGGGAATCAGGGTCGAAAACTTCTGAGAGAGAGGTGCATCTTCTAGGTAAGTGAAATTACAGAAGTTCTCCCTCCTTTTCGTTAAGGCTGTCTTTACATTACACTTTTTCCCCCTCAAAGTTTCCTATTGTTATCCCACTGGTGCAACTCTCCTGGTGGGAGTGCTTGTGTAGACAGGACTCTGGCATTTTTACCACTGTGTCATCGAACCCTGCTCAGAGCAAGCGTAGACAGCACAGTGGGGAAAATGCTGCCAGTGGCTAGAACCTTATTTAGATAGTAAATCCTTCAGCATAGGGACTTTCTGTATCTATGTATATGTAAAGTGCCTAGCACAATAGGGCCCTGATTTTGGTCGCGGCTCTTAGACATTAGTGTAATATAATAATATAGCTTAATGTAATTTGTAAAACGAATATTGTATATATTCATGCAATGTTTGTGCAGATATTTGTCTTTTCATACGCAGGCAGTTTTCAATATTTACATAAATCCCTTTTGTTGCTTATTATTTTGTTACACCCTAAAATGTGCTAGAACCTGCACACAAGACTTAGAACAACATAATCCTTGCTCCTAAAATCTAGATGTCAGACATAACACAATGAGCAGCATGACAAACAGAAGAAAGCAGATGGGGTTATACAGCGATATGGTCACGGTTGCTCATGACAGCCGTATATTAACTGAATAAATTCACAATATTTTAATATATTAAAAGTTTATTTTTTAAAACAAATGATACAATGCAACATAAAGTGTCTACTGCAGCATGACAAAATAAGCTTTATACCATTAATGTTACTCTTCATTAGAAATATTTTGAATATACTGTATATTGGGTTCCATTATGAGACTGTTCATCTGAGTAAGAACTGCAAGATGGAGTCCTATAGCCTTTGATGTGGCTCTGCAATTCTCAGTTGTTCAAACACTATGGGTCAGAACCTTAGGTGGTGGCCATCTGCTGGTTTATGCCAATTTATGATATGCACCTCTCTCTTTTCATCAAATCTCTATAAGACTTTTAATTACTATTAAACATTTCTATTGTGGTAGCTCCTAAAGGCCTCAACCAAATTAGGTTCTCTTGTGCTAGCTGCTGTCCAAACACAGAATGAATAACATTCCCTGCCCCAGAAAGCTTACAATCTAAACAACAAGATATAACAAGCACACTGAGTAACAAATGTGTGCAATTCTTAGCAAGATTCTTTATTAATACCTGCCCACAAGTAATAATTGTTCTCGATTTACATTCTAATATATAAGCATATTATAAAATAAAGGTATAGGACAAGTGAAGGGCCAGATCCCCTAGAACTGGGCCCAAAGTCTGTACCTATTTTATGTACTGGTGCTCTTTTTTTTACCACACCCTTCAGTTCTGAGGGCTACTTATTGTTAGTATTCAGAGTAACAGCCGTGTTAGTCTGTATCCGCAAAAAGAAGAACAGGAGTACTTGTGGCACCGAAGAAGTGGGCTGTAGTCCACGAAAGCTTATGCTCTAATAAATTTGTTAGTCTCTAAGGTGCCACAAGTACTCCTGTTCTTCTTTTTATTGTTAGTATAGTTCCAAAGGTGTATAGGGTGCTCCACAGATGGATAATAACGGATGTGTCCCTGCTCCAAAGAGCTTACAATCTAAGGGCTCCTACAAACACTGCTGGGCATAATGCTTGCTACCGTTGAGAACCCAGTTTCCTCACTAGAATAAGCAATATGTCTAGTGTCAAGTATTTGCAGGATTGGGCCTGAAATTTGATTTTACCCAGCAAGGAATGACCAAACAAAAGATCAGGGCATGGTGAACATGGATTATAATAGCAAAAGGTGATACGTTTATTGTTACATGTGCATCTTGAAAATTCCTCATTGGATTTGTATTTTAATTAATTGAATACATTAAAATTGAACAAGAGCTCAATTACTGAAGGTAGAGACTTTAGATTACAGTAGCCATCTCATAGTATACAAATGTCACACTAACCAGCAGTCAACAAGTGTTTGTACTTCACTAGAAATACTGTTTAAAATACCCTGAGCCTGATTCTCCTATTAATAGAAGCCGCAGATGTTCAGCACTTCAAAAGTCAATCTACTTTTACTTAGGAGCCTAAATATAGATTTAGGCTCCCATGTTACAAAATGTTGGCTTTACTCTTTCATCAGCCTTGATTAACTGTGACCCAGTGTTTCATTCCAGCAAGGCAATACAAAGTTTGATTCTAGTTTCATGATGAATTCCTAGGAATTATTTTAAAATAATAGAGAATTTTCTCCTCATTGAGATTAAAAGTACATTTAAAAAGAGGACCCATTATAACTAGCATATCATAAGTAACAATATATATATAAATACCACACAGTCATCTGTCACTCTAGAGTTAAAATGAATAAAGTGAATTATGTAATATTCACAGAATTATTCAAGTTTATCATCTGTACTACAAGAAAAATATGGAGTTGTGTGGTGCCTCTCAATTTTTTATTATTTACTATAATTGTATTTATTATTAATTATTATTATTATGTGAAGCAGTTTTCCTTTACTTCAGGATTCTCTGCCTGAAGTACATCCTGGTGTCTTTATTTAAACTATAAATACTGGGCTGTTAGTTTCTCACCTGGTCTATTTTTATCAGGGAAATATTTAACAGGGGGGAGGGATAGCTCAGTGGTTTGAGCATTGGCCTGCTAAACCCAGCGTTGTGAGTTCAATCCTTGAGGGGGCCACCTAGGGATCTGGGGCAAAATCAGTACTTGGTCCTGCTAGTGAAGGCAGGGGGCTGGATTCAATGACCTTTCAAGGTCCCTTCCAGTTCTAGGAGATGGGATATCTCCATTAATTTTAAATTAAATTTTTTTTTATTTAATTTTTTAACATACTCAGCAACAGTATTTTAATATCCAAAATAGATAACAGGGCTGTTTCCCCTGCTTGAGTTTTTGATGCTGAGTCTTACATTTAAAATACAACCAGAATGATATTTACCCCTTGAAAGGTTGGCATGTTCATTTTAAATAATTGGCACTATGCTTTCCTTCATTTCCCCACATCTCCAAGGATTCATTCTCACAAACACAAGTGTATCCTGTTTGAGGATGGCCATAAAGGTGAGTAACTATAAAAATACAGGCAACTGAACTGCGATTTATCATTTCATTTTTTCCTTCATTAGAACCTTTAATTTTTTAAAATTAATCTTTACAAAAGTTTACAGATACTTCTACTATGCTTGCCAGCCTGTTCGCATCCCACCTGTGGAGTTGGCCTTTCCACAGGCAGCATTACTGCTCAGATTTAGCAACTGTGGCACCACTGGTGCCAGTTTTAGCACAATGGGGGATAAGCAGACCAGAAGCAGCGAAGGCAGAAAGATTTTGTAGACAATACTATGCGATCACATTTTCATCATTTTATACCACGGGAAGATGAAATTTTACACTGTTAGCTAAACTGGAATACTTGGTAGGTATAACAAACTAGTTATGAAATAGCGTAGTCATAGAACAGTGATCACTGGTCATTCAAGGGGATTAATGTTTAGCATTGTCTCTTAAATCCACTATCAGAAAAATAAGGTTCAATGCTTTAAAAATAAAGGTCATGGACTCTTTATATGTTACGTTAACCATATGATTCTGGCGTATCCAGCTGCTCTTCCAACCCTCTGACTCCTGACTTTTCTGAAGAGACTTCTGGTCTCTAACAGGAAGCACTATTCTGGCACAATTAATTTCCCTTCTCTCTTTTCTTGTGTTTCTAACACTCATTTTTCTGTCTTCAAAATCACTGGGAAAGAACCCAGAATAGAAATAAAGGCCAAAAGGCTGTGGCAGGGATGAGACAATGAAGGCCTGAAGAGCTTTAAGTATATTGTCCAATTTACCACTATCCAGAACCATTCTCAGCTTTTAAGCAGTTTGACAACAGGTTATTTCAAGACTGTAATGCATGTTCTATGGCCAGAGCAGCAACATTAGTGAAAACGGTTTAGACATCAACAGTGATGGATTTGTAGGGCTTGCTAGACATTTTTTTCCACTATCTTAGTCTCCAAGGCCCCAAATCCTGCAAGTTACAAAGCTTGGGTGACCCCTGTGCCTATGCAGAGCCCCACTGGCATCAAAGGGTTCCATGTGGGCACAGGGGTCTGCCTGCATGGTTCTGCTTGCAGGATTGGGTGCAAAAAAGACTAGTGTAAAGCCTGGCTTCCTAGCAAACTGTGAAAGGATCCAAGTACAGTCCAAATAAAATGATTTTGTGTTATTGGGAGAAAGAGCTCTGAAAATTCTGATAGTTTCTCACGAGCAAAAGAAAAATGGCTCCAGATAAGTGGTCTGTACATGCTGGCAAACCTAGATTTGGTGAGGAAAGAAGAGTGAAATTTGTTAATTAAATACTGAAAATTACATTGAGAACTTGTCTGCTTTTATGTGTTTATGAAAAGCAAGGGACAATGTTTATAGGACAATGTCTGCCATCTATTTCCAACAAGGGATGCTGTAAACTAATTGGTACACTGGATGACTGGGATGCACATTTTTCTTCCTAGCCTTGAGGAAACCTGAAAGAATGGTCAAAACTTTTCTGTGAAATTCTCAGATGCTTCTATCTCAGGGTGTATGTCCTTTTTATATATGTTATCTCATGGATTCTCCAAGTGGGATCTGCAAGTATGTGCAGCCGCAGTTCAGTTCCTCAACTGAGCACAACAAGGGAGCCTAAAACAGGGCTGTTACCTCCAGGTGCTGAGGGAACATAGATCAGACCACAGCCCCACTCTTCCTCCTGCTCCACACTAGACAAATGGGAGGAGGAGGTTCTAGAGGGTATTTTGATATTAGCGCCACCCCTTCTGTGTCTCTTTCCACTGCGGAGCAAGAGGGCTGCACTGGAAGGGCCAGTTTGTCTCCCCTTAGCATGGGGAAACTGGTTTCAGGATCCTGGATCTATAATGAGCTAAGCATTAGGAGTGCTGCAGACCTGGAAGCTGGAAATAAGGCATAGGATAGGGAATGGGACTGGAAGGGAGAGAAGTTAGAGGGGAGAAGAATCTCAGAGGGCTTTGTAAGCTATTAGGGCCCAAATCTTCAGCCTGTGTAAATTAGTGTAACTATTCATTCACTGGAGCCACACTAATGTACAAAAAGAACAGGAGTACTTGTGGCACCTTAGAGACTAACAAACTAAGGTGCCACAAGTATTCCTGTTCTTTTTGCGGATACAGACTAACACGGCTGCTACTCTAAAACTAATGTACAGCAGCTCAGGGACCTGGCCCTGCATCTCTGTGTCTAAATCCGGCACATTGAAATGCAACCACCTCTGGGCTGAGACCCAGCAATTGTTTAACAGACCAAACTATTCAGTAGTTAGGGTAGAAAATGAAGAATATTTTATCCAAATAAAACCAGAAAGGAGGTTTAGATGGAATTAGTTATCCTGAAATCTGATGAGGATACTAGGGCTAACACCCATTTCTGGTGAAAAGGTCCATGGGATCTTTTCAGCACAAATGGACAATACTTTAGTTGTACAGCTCAACCTACAGACAGCACCCTCAGCAGCATATTAACACAATGCAAACTTAGAATCAGGATTGCAACCTATTGAATCACCCAAACCTCTTCCTAAGCTCCTGTTTTTTTGTTTTTGTTTGTTTTTTTGTTTTTTTTTTGAAGGTCTTCCATTCCAGTAGTGAGAAAGTCTAACCAGGATTAGCTCAAACTCTGACAAAGTCACAGCTGAGCTGGTGGGTCTGCAGACTTCGTTATCTGAATGAATGGTTCACTCTTCTCCGGAGTATTTTTTTTCCCTTACCCTACAATCCTTTATAGCGTTCTACTTACCGATTCAGTCTTTCAATTATTTCCTGCAAGAAAATGTCAAAATTAATGTGTACATTTTTGTATGTCCTGATTCCAACCGTTTTTATAGAGTTTAAGGCCAACAGGGACCACTAGACAATCTAGTCTGGCCTCCTGCATATCACGGGCCATTAAATTTCATCCAGATATTCCTATATTGAGCCCAGTGACTTTAGGTAGACCAAAGCATTTCATTTCTCAGGAGAGTAAACTGTTTGTGCCACAGTCAGAGAGCAGGACAGAGTGAGGTGCTACCAATACTCGAGGCCTCTGCAATGGCAGAAAATTAATTGGGTGAGATATCCCCAGATGATCCTAGCAGACAATCCACACCCCATCTAAGAGGAAGATGAAAAAAACCCTGATATGCCTGAAAATCTGACCTGGGGGAAATTCTTTCTGAAACCCATATCTAGTGGCCAGTTTTACCCTAAGCATATGAGCAAGACCAACCAATCAGGCATCTAAGAAAAGAAATTTCTCTGAACTACCTCAGAATACTGCTCACCCCTGTCTAGTGCCCCTCTCCAGCTGTCACCAATCTCTGATGCTCCAGAGAAAGGTGACCCCACACCCGAATACATCTGGCCAATTGTGCACTGAGGGAAAAATTCCTCCCTGATCCCTACAAGTGTGTACCTGAAGCCCTGAAGCATGAGCTTAGATTATAATCATCATTTTAATGCAGAGGTACAAGTGTTGTGGGCATGTTGAGGGCAATTCAGAGCTTCTTCTTCTCCCCATAGTTCATGAAGGAAGGGAATTAACATGGGGATTCACAGTGCTTTGTGCCAACCAATATACAAAGAGAGCCCGATTCTGTCACCTTTACTCATGTGAAGTAGTACCTTTCTCACACAAAAAGCATCATTTTACTCCACAGAACTACTTGTGCGAGTAAGGTACTCTTCAACATGAGTTAGGGCAGAAGAAGACATCTAATCTTCTAATTGTATGTAGCAAACTGAAAAGTCTCATCAGAGGCCATTTGTGGTTTAGAATTATTTTCTTTCTTTGTAGTACACCGTTGTTCATGTCCTAGTCACATCAGAAGAAAAATCAGTAAGATTTCAATCTAGTTTAAGCTCTGCTTCTCCTCTCATGTATATAGTATAATGAGTAACATATCTACCAACTGAGAAACAGTAGATCATATATGTGCATAAACTGACATAAATTGAATCAGGCCTTCATTAGACTACTATTCCTAATTACATGCATTGGTGTAGCTACACTAATGCAAACTCTAGTGTAGACAAGCAAAGACATTTGTACCAATGGTGATGAGCCTGGTGTTTCAAACAGGTAAAAACCCACTGTGTAAATGGTGGCTTTGCTTGCCTGCAGCTACACTGTTGGCTGTAGTTGGGGCAAATACCCAGTCTGGATATTGCTGATGATGCAGGAGCCATTAGTCCACTGGGAGAGGAGCTGCAATTCATTCCCTATGCTTTTGAGGCCCACAGGCAACCAAAGGAGAGGAACCACAAGCCCCATAGCCAATTGTTCTAATTCTACCTCCCAGTTCATTGCTCTGCCCTCACACAGAGACCTCCAAAGAATTAATCAGTCCTCTCACAGTCCCACCATCAGTCATGCCCTCCAAACATGCCTCCTTCAGATTCTGCTGCGGCTCCCAATCCCATTCCTCTCCTTAGGGTTGGGTTTCCCTTCTTCCTTCAGCTGCTCTGCTTCCTCATTCTTCTTCTGGTGCTGGATGAAGTCCAGGAGGGGCTGGGACAGTCAGTCTCTCACTCCCAGGAGAGAGGAAGCCTAGAGGGAGTCTCTTTAGTTCCCTTCTCCATCCCCATCTCATCCTAGGGAGGGGCACAGTGCTGGGTGCCAAAGAGGCCTGGCTGCAGAGCTAGTTGGGGAGGAGACAGACTGCGGGCTTCAAAAGCGCTTCCGGCCTTTTAAAAGAGGGAGAGGAAGGAGCTTTGCCTGCTCCTTGTGCAGAGGAAGGAGGAAGCCCATTAGCATGTGGGTAGCCCCAAATACCTTCTTTTCCTTAGGAGGTGGGGAGCAGGGAAGGACAGCCAATCAAACAGACTAGGGTGACCAGACAGAAAGTGTGAAAAATCGGGACAGAGGGTGGGGGGGTAATAGGCACGTGTGTAAGAAAAAGCCCCAAATATCGGGACTGTCCCTATAAAATCGGGACATCTGGTCACCCTAAAACAGACAGCCTTGTGGGTAGGTCTGAAAGCCTGAAGTCTCTGGGGAAAACCCATACAGGTAGCAACCTGACTTCAGTGGAGTTACATCAGCGTCAAACTGACAGGAGAATCAGGAGAACTCTAATGGCCAGATACTGCCACCCTTACTCAGGATTACTAGTAACTTGCTCTGTGAATAGTGCCAGTGGATTTATTGGGATTTTCTACTTAGTGAGGAAAAGTGATATAATCTGTCCCTACCTGTATAAAGTGTGCACAAATTAGCATTCTTAAGAAAATCTTGGCCTCTCACAATATCAGCATCTACAATTTCAACACTGATCTCCAATCTTTATACTCCATTTCCACTGCTCTGCTTCCAACATACTGATCTGTGATTCTAAAGGATAAAACTTCTGCCTGGCTTCTCTTGTTCCCTCAGGTTACACTGCACTCTTGAAAGCCTGCCCCTGACTGAGAAAAAGAAATATTGCCCTTTTGATCTCCCCTCTTGCCACACATTGAAATCTAGAGGCTCCCAGATACTTTTAGCCTCAGCAGCATCTATAAAATTAAGAACAGACTTCTGCTGTGTGGTCAGTGGAATTACCTTTTGTAAAGTCCACCATGTGTAGAAGTGATTGCAGGATTGGGGCCTATGTCTGAGTTGGTCTCATATCATTTAGGACTTTATTACACATTAACCTTTCCACTTACTGAACTGAGACGCAGGCCCACCAACAGGGATGGCAAAGGGGGCAATTGCCATCGGGCCCGGTCGATTTAAAATGGCCCAAGGGCCTCTGGCTGCCACCGCTGCCACAGTAGCGGTAGCCGGGAGCCCCGGGTGCTTTTACATCGCCCAGGTGGGCTGTAGGGCTCTGAGGGGTAGTACCAGCAGCAGCAAAAGCAGCCAGGCAGGCATTTGGAAGCCCTGGCCATGCCCATTGACTGCTCTGTCCTGGGGCCCGGCATTGCTGTCGGCAGGCCTGCTGAGAAGTTTCAATCATAGACAAAACTTTGAATTAAATCAATTTGAAACAGAGCCACATTTAGAAATGAAGAAACAGACTTTATTCAGCTCCTGAGGCTAAGTTACCACTCCCTTCTATGCCATTCATGCTGACCCATTAGACAATGGTTTAATAGGTTAATTTTTTTCTTTTTTGCTGCATTTACTGCTAATCATGAAAAGGCAACATTCAAACACAAAGAATATTTTCATGACCACAAAGTAGCAAGAATAGCTAAAGCCTCTTGCAATACCGACTGATCACTCATTGTCATCTTTTGACTAGAAGGAGTATGGATAGAACCTCTTCATCTAAAGCTCTTAAGTATATTGAAATACTCTTGCACCGCTTACCGTAATTTGGTGGTTTTGGAAGATGTGACAAGACTGATGAAAGATGACTTGGCAGCATCTTTGGAGCAAAAGAACAGTCAATTTTAAATATATGATTCTACATGTGATTAAAGGGAAAATTCTGCCCTCAAATGCACATATGTAGCTTTTATTGAACCAAGGAGAATTTTACACACACACACACACACACACACACCCCTAAGGACACAATTTGACCCTGGAATCTAACCCAATAAAATATTGTATGTCAAGTATAAAGGAAGTTTCTACTTACAAACTAAAATTAGCAGCAGCAAAAAAGCCAACAAAGTGGCAAAGCGTCCTCCCAGAAAGCATCTGAAATCATAACAAATACCAAGTATCAGAGGGGTAGCCTTGTTAGTCTGGATCTGTAAAAGCAGCAAAGAGTCCTGTGGCACCTTATAGACGTATTGGACCATGAGCTTTCGTGGGTGAATACCCACTTCGTCAGATGCATGCCATAACAAATACCCTAGTTTTTAGATTGTACGATGGACAGATATTGGGTCAACACAATAAAATATGCACTCCACACATTCCAAGATCAACCTTCAGTCAGCTACCATTCTGGTCCTTCAGCTAAGGACCCCAATATTCCCAGATGGGTGATGGGAGGCGGGAGCTGGGAGGAGACCAGTGTCATGAAATGTAATGGAATGTTTACCCCACACATGCCAGGAAAGGGTTAATATGGGCCTGAGAAAGGCCATGGTAGGAAGAAACCAAGGGGACCAGCAGCAAGAAGTTGGACTGAGCAGACTCTGGCTGCTGGTTATAGGGTCCTGGGCTGGAGTTCAATGTAGTGGGATGCCCCAGGTTCCCCTAACCAGCCACTTGTATGGTAGAATGAGGCCAGAGAAGGGAAAAGGAAAGCGAGGGAGGATGATGGGGCCCAGAGTCTAGGCTGAAGACCTGATCAGGTCGTGAACATTGGTTTGTTGGACTTCGTTACCCTGAAAGAGTTCCCTTCTCCAACTTTCAAATCCCCTGTATCATATCTGCATTCAAACACCTAATTTGCGCACACACATCAAATATTTGTTTGCAAATGCATCTTTGCAATACTGCATGTCTAACTTTGAAAACGAGGCCCTAAATGTCATGTTTTATTCACCGGTTGACATTATATATATATAAAAATAAATAAAGCATGATTGTAATGAAGATGAAATCAAAATTACCTTGCACACACTGAAATGATTAAACACATGGACAGTATAATCATTTGATAAATGACATTTCTCACTGCACTGGATTCTATTAAAAAAGGAAACAAATTAGGAATAATAATTCTTTTTTTTGGACATACTAGAAAACAAGTAGCTCCTTCCTTCCAGTTGCCCTCCTCTGAAACTGTGAACCTGAAATTCAGTGAAGGAAGGAGTATTTGTGATAAAAAAGATGCTTTACCAAAAACTCTACTATGATAGTCACCATGGGCCAGCTCCACAGAAGTCAATGGGAGTCTTCAATGGGGGGTTAAATCAAACCCACTAGAGGCAAACCCAATTATTCTATACTCCATATAGACAGACTATACATCTGCATTCTCTTTTTTGAAAGCTGTAAAGTGTGTCGAATCGAGGTCTAAGTGTCATATAAAAATATATTCTCCCACAAAATCTTCCTTAACTGGACAAATATTTTTGATAATGGACATAAGGATATACATAGAAATGGCCATGAGAAGTATTCAGAAATGCAAAATAATCACCTTAACAAATTAAAACATAGTTTGTTTTTTAGATTTTGCAATAATTAGATCAGTGTAAATTTACAAATCTCAAAATTTGGGAATTTGCTAAAGGGACCAAGAAAAGTTTAAATTCATCAAAAAAATGTCAAGGGGTCTTTTTTAAATGGCCATAACTCAAACAAATTAACAGAGTTTTATTTTTATTCACAAATTTTATTTTCAAATCCTCAAAAAAATTTTTTACAGTCAAAGACCAGGATGAAATTCTAGCTCCATTGACATCAATTGGAGTTTTGCCATTGACTCTGGCAGAGTCAATATTTTACCCAACATACCAGAAATTTGTGAAAGATATAGTATTCATATATAGTAAAAACTTAAAACAGGCATTAAATCTAAAGTGAAAATCTCAACATAACTGTATGAGCAGTTAAGGCACCTATATATTATTATTAATTTATTAGTATATATTATTATATTATATGTATTTACATGCAATATGAGAACTAATGTTAGAAACTGACATATTTTTGAGTGTGCCTGAAGAATTCGTAGGGAGTTGTTTCTACCTTAAATTTTTATTGCAATGAAATTTAGACTTAGTCACAAATGTTAAATAGTTTTTGTGAAACAATTTGAAAATTTTGAAATAATTTTCATTCAGTGGGTTTCACAAGGAATTTTTTTGAGGTATTTGAAATTTTTCACAAATATTTTTAGTTTCAGATTTTTTTCATTTTTTGTCCCCCCCCGCCCCTCCATTTCCCTGAGTTTTTTCCACTTTCAATTTTGCCACTTAATATGGAGAAACAAGAAAAAAGAGGCGTATGGGGGGGAGAAAATTAAAAAGTTTTAATTTTATATTTAATTGAAAAAATTGACTTTTTTTCCAAATTAAAATTTTGCAAAAATCTCCAGTTTCAAAAAAGGCCATTTTCAATACCATGTTTTTCCACTTGAAAAATGTCAACCAGCTCTACAAATAACAAACTGAGAAGGAAAGAACATAACTCACTTGAATGATCCAAAGTCTCTTCATGGAAATACCCATCTACCATAAACTGGGAGCATGGAGAGGAATCACTGAACTGTTTTCTTGACTGAATGAACACCACATCTTTAGAAAAAGAGGATTCATCAGCTGCTGGCATTTGCATCCAGGTTTTGCATTCAGAAGAAAATTCAGAGTCATCTGCAAGAGGCACATTTGTAACTTTCCTAGCTCACAGTAATGGAAAGGGGTGGAGAATCTGTGCTGATAGATTTTTAACATAAGAAATGACTCAATCACAAGGATTTCTCTGAACTGTTAGTGATATGGAATCGGTAGACCCATTATATGTAGGAAAATGCAAGGGAAAGAAGCAGATCAAAACTTCATAAATTTTAACACAGTGAGGATATAAAAAGCTCACACTGAAAACAGCAATGGGCCAAATGATTAGACTTACTACTGGAGTATCTCTCATTGTCACTGGCTTCCTATCCAAAGTCAGTTTCAAAAGGCCCTCCTAGGTTATAAAGATCTCCATGGATTCAAACACTGTTACCATCTCATGTCACTGGCTCAATTTGCTCCGCAAAATTCTGTCTCTGATCTGTCCTTTAAATCAGTGGTTTTCAAAGTTCAGGTTGCAACTCAGTACTGGGTCACAGAATGCAAGGCACTGTGTCGCCCCTCAGCACCCAGGGACCCTGGTGGCCGGCCACTAAAAATTAGCAGTCCCTATCTGTTCTGACACTGCGCTGTGCCCCGGTAGCAGCCAGCAGCAGGTCTGGCTTGCACGCTGCCCCTGCCCTAAGCACTGGCTCCACACTCCCATTGGCCAGGAACTGGGAAGCCTGCCTCTGCACCCCGCTGTGCCGCTGACTGGGAGCCGCCGGAGGTAACCCCGTGCCCCAACCCCACATCCCAATCCCCTGCCCCAGCCCTGAGCCCCCACAAACCCGGAGCCCCCTCCTGTACCCCAAACCCCTCGTTCCTGGCCCCAGCCCAGAGCCCTGACCCCCTCCCACACTTCAACCCTCTGCCCCAGCCCAGAGCCCCCTCCCACGACCCTCATTCCTGGCTCCACCCTGCAGCCCTCACCCCTGCACCCCAACCCTCTGCCCCAACCTTGAGGTACCTCCCACACCCAACCCCCCTCATCCCCAGCTCCGTTGGGTCGCGGACATCAAACATTTTCTTCAACTGGGTCACCAGAAAAACAGTTTGAAAACCACTGCTCTAAATGCTGATTTGAGCAGAGGCCCCCTGCAAAACCAAGGAAATTGTTATCCACCTACAGTGATCCCGTCATTAACAGACAAGCCTAACTAAATACAGAACATACTAGTGATGTTACTGTGGGCTTACCATTGCCATAGTGCTGATTGGCATCTAGTTTATTATCTCCATCATTCCAAATCTCCTCTACATCAGGAGAATCCATATTGCTAAGGACAGTGCTGTTGAGCCATGAATCCGAAGCACTGAGACTGAACAGACTAGCAAGAGAGCGACGGATTTTCTTCCTTCTCCTGAATATTCTAGAAAGGAAAGAAATAACCATGTTTTAAAGGGATGAGGCACTTTTATTTATAAAACAGTAACAGGGTTCACGCTGCGCCCCTGGGTATTTAGCCACTGGGCCTCCCCCTTCAATGAGTCAGGGACACTTTAGTATGGTGCAACACCCATATTCTTTATTCTCCAAAGGTTTCCCACCACCAGTTCCCAACCATATACAGACTTCACAATTACTTTGCCTACAACAGACTAGGCGGCTCCCATTTCCTGCTGTGCTGTTCCGGACCTGGACCCTTTCCCTTCCCCCCTTCTCTGGCTTCCTCTCAGCCTTTATAGCTCTGGGCTAATAAGACTACCAGCTACCAGGCAGGCACAGGGCTATTCACCCATTCCCAATCCATTCCCCTTGATTGGGGCTGGAGTGGCAGGAGCTGATTAAGAGCTTCTCAGCCAGCGTCCTGCCACAAACAGGAACACGGTCTAGAAGTTAGAGTAGAGGCCTACGACTCAGGTATCTTGCAGTCTGTTCCTTGCTCTGCCACAGGTTCACTCTTGGGCTTGTCATTAAATTTCTCAATGCCATTGTTTCCTCATCTGTAAAATGGGTCTAACGATGTTTACTTCTTTCACCAGGGTATTCTGTGGTTTAATAGTTTCCACTGTAACATTATAGGGCCATATTTTACAATCCTTCCTCAGGTAACACCACTATTGAAGTCATGTGGAAGTTTTGCCTGAGTAAGGATTGCAGGACAGAACCTGTATTTTTAATTTTCTGTTTTATTCTCCGTCATGGTAATGCCCTCTTGGGAACAGGACAGTAACACTTCTTTTTCTGCTGTGTCCCTCTTCCTTGGGCAAACCATTTGTTTTGCTGAATTTCTAACAACTGCAGCTTTAGGTTTACAGTTCTGCCTGTGTCCCATCATCGATTAACTCTCTAGAAAGGCATCCACACAGAAACAGTGTTGGTTAGTTTTGAGCTGCTGATGAGCATCAGAAGGAGACCCGTCACAAATGTATTGGGTTATGGCCATAACAAAATGGATAATGACTACCCTCAATTTTTTAAATTCTGGGCAAGTGAGTGATGAAATTACAAAAATAAAAGTTGATATTTAGAATCCAGAGGAATTTCCATATCAAATAAAACATGTTTTACAGCAAATACAATTTGGAGCCTTCCATATGTAATATAGCATTAATTTATTGGATGAAATCATGAAGCACAATTCAGTTTTTGCTCAGTCCTCACTCAGGGAAACCTCCTAATGACCCACTGAAAATTACACATTTGCTATATTTTGAAAATTATGATAGTTTGAAGGTGAGACAAACAAGAAAATCTTGAATTTCTTTAAAATGTCTGTTATGCCTACTTTTGGATTTGCTCTCATCCTTCTTTTATGCTTGGAAGAATTGAAGTCACCTCTTTGGAACATTAAATATTTCAGCAACAGGTGAAAAGCCATGAATTTCTGGGCAGCTGTACCTCTCCTTTATATTTACTGCACAGAGCGCCAATCACAGTAACATCTGTGTGCTTAAAACTTTTGAGATAATGTTATAAGGCATGACTCTGAAGACCAAGTGATTTTAACCACTTCAGTCTCTCTGAATTATACTACTTGGTGTGTTCCATCGTTATTAGAAAATGGAATCCAGGTATAGAAATAAAGGAAGAAGCTAGACATAGAATCATAGGACTGGAAGGGACCTAGAGAGGTCATCTAGTCCAGTCCCCTGATGTACTGAGCATTATAGTCATACCCTGACAGCCAACCAGAAATCAAGTTAAGTCCAGAGTTATAACGCCAACATCCAATATTAAGTAAAATGTGTGTGACTCACTTACCTAACTAATTTCTCCTTATAGGTAACACTTGTCTGTGACGGGGTCAGTGTTACGTTACCATCTTCATCAGACAGAAAACTGTCTTCCGTCAAAATGTAATAACCATTAGTAAGAAGCCGAGGACTACGGCGACATGTGAAAAGAGAGCCTGTCAAGGGGTTTATGGAACAACATTCGTAGGAGGTGTCACTATCCAGAAAGGCATAAGTGTAACTGAAAAGGAAAGAAATAAAACCCTCTGAGTTAGTATATGTCTGTTTCAAAGGGGCATAAATGTTAAAAAACGATTGAATGATAATGTTTTTAGATATCAGAGGGGTAGCCGTGTTAGTCTGGATCTGTAAAAAGCGACAAAGAGTCCTGTGGCACCTTATAGACTAACAGACGTATTGGAGCATAAGCTTTCGTGGGTGAATACCCACTTTGTCAGATACCTGTAGTGGAAATTTCCAGAGGCAGGTATAAATATGCAGGCAAGAATCAGTCTAGAGATAACAAGGTTAGTTCAGTCAGGAGGATGAGGCCCTCTTCTAGCAGTACACATCACTTTTCATTTGAATAGCTCCCAGAACACTATAGAGTTGTGTAACAGGGTGGTTTGCCCTTATGGACTAGAGGCCTGGGGACAGCCAGCCCTGATTACTAAGGAGGCACACAGGAGCAAGGCTCACCTGATTGTCCTATAAAGGACAACAGGAAGCTTCAGAGAAGGGGGGTGGGAATGCTCAAAGAGAAACAGAGGGAAGAAGCTGCAGGAAGTGAGTCTCTGGCTGTGGTCCCTTCTCCAGCTGGGGACACTGGGAGTTGTGGCTGGGTAGGAAGCCCTGGCTGGAAGATTTGTTTTCTCATGAGAAGAAAGCAAAGAAGGCAGGCCAGGCCTTGCGTCTTCTCCAGCTGCTCAGAGAGAAAAAAGACATAGCTCTCAGGAGGAGGGGTTGTTCCCAGCTTAAAACTGGAGTGGAAGATGTCTGTTTATTTGTGAACTTCTTGTGAATAAAATCAGACCCTAAGGTGGGCTGTTGTTATTGGATTCATGAAAGCCTGTGTGGAGTTTATCTAAGAAGCCCCTTTAAGGGGGAAACTGAGGCAAGGGGCTGCTTGTAGGGCCACACTGAGGCCACAAGGATGGAGGAGGCCACTCACTCACAAGCTGTAACAAAATGATATACAAAGTATGCACAGAGATCGCTTCACCCATCACTGAAATGCAACCATCTCTGGAGTGAAATGTAGCAACTGTTGGATAACACACAACACTAGACAAGTATTTAAGACAGAAGTGAGTAACTTTTCCCACTGGAACACCAGAGGGCTGTTAGGTAGGTATAATGTATGGTCCTGATTTTGGAATTGGGCCCCAATCCTGTGAGGTGCTGAGTACTCACAACTCTGAGTGACTTCATTGGGATTTGAGAGTGCTCAGCACTTTGCAGGGTCAGGCACTAATCTCGATATACATTTGTCAGTATCAGTACAAGCAGCTATAGATCTTTCAGCAAACAGTCCCAGAGAGAGTGGGAAACTCATCAAGTTCTTGAAAACTGGAAAGAGGTGAGTAATAGATAATTGTAGAAAGATCTCTACCAGGGACAAGAGATGACAGTATTGTAATGCAAGGGCTAGGGGTGGGCATGCACCACTGCCCTCTGCTGGACAGAATTTGAAATGAACAACTGTGTCATATACCATATGCTACAGTCACTTCATGGGGATTCTATTTTAGTTCAAGTGGTTGGGGCCTGTGTATTTCAAGCAGGAGTATCTGAATTCTATCCCCACTGTAGCTTTGACGTTTCAAGTGGCCATAGATTTGCAGCACAGTGATATCTGTGAAATGCAATGCGGCCATGCTTTAGTGTGGTAATAGCACCCTAATCATAAATAGTTTAAATAGGAATTTTAGAAATGTTTTTCAAACACAAAGGAAAAATAAAATGAAACAAAGGATAGTTTTACTCCATACCTTGGCAAAATGTGTTCAGGGGACAGACTTTGCCTGGGCTGTTTATCAAACACTGAAGAACCTGTTGAGACAAAGACCAGATAAGGAAAAGTCCCAGCATCGGCTCACCACACAGACATTTCAAGCGACAGTTGAACCAGCTGACTGCTTTTCACTAACAATATGTCTTGATGAAATTGAAAAGAAAAAAGGAGAAGAAAATTAGGAAAGGAAAAGAGACTAAAGGAAAGAAAAGAGAGTGATGGTGGGTAGATAAAATGAAACCTCATATAATTTAGGCTTGTATAGCATCATTCCAAAAAGAGTAGCATGAATCAAAGCTGATTACAGTCACTAAATCCAAGTTGCCAATGTACTGTACAGTTTTGTGTCTTGTGGGAAGTAAATCCAGGCACATACAAGGGAATAGGTCCAGCACTTTTAATGGTATTGCCTAATTCACATCATGAACAACTCACTCACTGATTGATTCTACCAGCAGTGCTCAGGTTCTCCTATAACAATTATGTGGTGGCATTAATGGGTCACACCATTACTATGATAAGGTATCATGCAAGTGGGCATCTGTAGATGCGGCAGAGCAGGAGCCGTTATGGCAACAATGGCAAAGATTTGAGGATAATGATTGATCACAGGACTATGGAGACATCTAGGAAGTAGGATTTTGATGTTATGTGAAGGCCAAACCTGCAAGGTCCTACGCTCAGTGTCACAAGGATTAGATGGTTAAATAATCTGAGTCTATGATGGGGTTTACAAACTCCTCTCTACAGCCGAGGCAGGGGAAAGGCTGGAGCAGTATGGAGCCAGGAAAGCTCTGCCCATCATGCACTGCCAAGCATAGTATAAAAAAGTTTCAGCAGCTCGGGAGTGGGGAAGTGAAAAGTCATTTCCAGGAGCAGTGCTGTGTCCTGAGAGAGGAGGAGAAGGAGCGCTTACTGAGGAGGTCTGGCTGTGAGTCTTTCTACCCCTCATTTGAGGCATCACTCCAGCAATAGGGAGAACTGTGTGCAGAAGCACCAGAGAGTTGCCTGCATCAGTCCTGAGACTCTGAGGTTTGGAGCAATGGACAATAATCGAATAGCAGCCAGGCCCCAAACTGAGACATTGGGTGGGGTAGGAAGTGGTCCAGGCAAAGGTGATCAGGAGATGGGCCCAGTGTAGGCCAGCCCATGCTATCACATTTCAGGGCTCTGGTGGAGCGGGAGGGCCTGGGTCCCCCTAATCACCCCAGATTCCCCTATGCCTAGCCCTATGATAGGCAGGAATAGGGGGTTACAGACAAGAAGGCTGACCTAGCTGAATCCCAGTCATGGCATCCCTGACACATTGAACTGGAAGAGACGAGAGTCATAGGCCTGCAGACTGAAGAGATAACCCTGCTACAGAGTCATTCATCCACAAAAGGAGATGGGTCTAGAGATGGGATCTGGGCTCACTGATGAGGTGAAGTGAAGAATGTAGGGGGACATTTTGGGGAAAAAGGCAACCGGACAAGGCTCCTGTTAGCGGTGCGACCACATGGAATGGCAATTGTCGGAATATCACACAGCCGTTTGTATGGAACGGTCACAAAAAGTGAGTGTTTTCCATATTTACACATTACAGATTTGTATTTTATATACATTAGTGGCTGCTGAAATATTCTCTTCTTTACAATTTTATACAAAAACCTCTGTAAAATCTTGACTTTTCAATCAATGAGAAAACATTACATTCAAAAAAAGAAATTCATCTTCACTTTAGAAGGCAATCCCTCATGTGTAAGGACACAATCCCTGTTAAGAAAGCCCAGAGAAATGCTCATACATTTACTTGCTGCTGGTGTTGACATTAGTTGGGATATTCGATACATCTTGAAAAGGTCTGTTGCAAACTCTCTGGAGCTACATGTATCACAGATTATCTGCAAGAGATTTTAAAGAAAAGTTGGTATTTATTGAAAACAGAGAGCTGCAAGGTATAATCAGGAATGGTCATTACATTACTCATTATGCTGTATTCCATTCGATGTGAGTCTGATCCTGCCATCCTTCCTCATTGATTTCAAGAGCAAATTTGTTCAAATAGGGCCTGCAGGCCCAGGCAACTGTGATCTCTTAACTAATATTTAAATCCATGATGTACAGTATAGATAGACTTACAATTGTCCTATGTGCACTACAGTTTTTACTTTATTTTCTCAATAATATGCTTTTGAATCACTGTTATGTAAAATAAAAAGCACTGAATGAGAAATAAAGTTTACATACAATATCTTACATGTTTCTAGTGCCTTGCATGAGAGAATATCACAGTGCACTTTACAAACTGGTATACAATCTATGGTTTCTACCCTGCAAATACTTAGGCCTGTGAGTAGTCTCATTAAAGTTACTCAGGTGACTATGGTTTATATGTAGGGATCACACCACCCGCCACTGAGAGGCAGGACAACTTCAGGGGAAACATAACAGCTGTTTAACAGCATGTAGCAACACTACAAATGTGTTTAGGATAAGATGTGAGGGAGAAATGCATCTCCATATGCAGATTAGTGGGAATGTGATGTATTTCTCCCAATTATACACATCTTCAAGAACAGTTTAAGAGCACTTGTGATTTACAAAGCAATGTTTTTCTGTGCAATGATTTTACATAGAATTGCTTTCCCAGAATCTTGAAAACACTGGAGAAAGTGTACGCACTTCATTTTGCAGACAGCACTTTACACAGTCCCACTTTTATTTATTGTTAGGCTTGAAAGGATTAGATTTTTGTCTGTAAATGTCAGTAAACGTTGACTTCACTGTACACACACACACCAATGAAAAAATATTTTCACTCATAATAATCCAAATTTACAGATAGGCAAAGTAAGAAAAATGCTGCTTGAGAACTTATTTGCATTTGATTTCAGGATATTTACTTTGTATATTTTGAAATGTGATGTTGATATTTTGTGTTTTAATGGTTATAAAGCTTTATCTTATAGAATCTCAATGTCTACTATCGTTTAAATAATTGTCTGCCCCCCACTGTGTGATTCCCCCTATAATTTCCCACAACTGAACATTTAAATAAATAAAAATAGAAAAAAAATGCTTAAACTATAATTTCACACAACTGTGAAAATGTAAATAAACAAAAATTTAAAAAAATGCTTAAAATAAATATTTGTATGCAGTGTAGTTGTAGCCATGTTGGTCCCAGGATATTAGACAGACAAAGTGTGTGGAAAAAAATGCTAAAAAGTTCTCAAGCCGCATTTTTCTTACTTTGTCTATCTGTAAATTTGAAAAACATTGCTTTGTAAATCACAAGTGCTCTTAAACTGTTCTTGAAGATGTGTATAATTGGGAGAAGTGGTATCTTTTCTCGGACCAACTTCTGTTTGATCTGTTTTATCAGACCAAGCTTGTCTCTCTCACCAGACAGAAGTTGGTCCGATAAAAGATACGACCTCACCCACCTTGTCTGTAAAATAAACACTGATATTATGCATCAAAATAAAAAAATCTAATTCTGCCAAGCAATTATTCATATCAATTGCCACTTTGCAATTACTTTAAATAATACTTAACATTAAGTAATATTTGTGACCCACAACACATTAAAATTCTGTAGTTCAACAAATACCTTTTAAACTAACATATGACAAAAGGCCAAATATGAACAACCTCACTGAAAATGAAACAAAGCTAAAGGCAAGTCAGCAACGTTTTATGGCAATCATTCAAATCAAAGTTTATTGAGTCTACAACACTGCCCAGTTCTGAAATTCAAATCACTAAAATGTAAGCATGAAAGCTTCTGCCTTTCTACTCAGAATGTATAAAACAATTTACTTTAATCACTTTCCTTGGTGATAATCAAACTGGTCCTTAAAACAATGATACCCTCAGTTGGTAACTAGCCAATCCCTTGCGCATGTTGCACTCTACACTGTAAATATTTACATCAATATGTATCAACACACATAATTAAAATTATTTAAGTCCAAGTATTTAACCTATTCAGATAACAAATATTACTCTCTTATCTTTTGAAATACAATAATGTCTATGAGGAATAATTTTATTTGTTCATACATGTCACTTTTTGAAGGGTATTTTAGTCTATTCTCTTTACTGGAAGTGATGAAAGCATTCATAGAAATGTAAAGCTTCTTGAAGAGCTGACTGTAGATGGAGAAATCCAGGGCTCAGTTATTCCTCTGTTGATCAAAGTAATAAAACATCAACATATGTAAAATCTTCCAAACCTGGAAAAGCCATTTCACTATTAACAAACGTATGCAAGAAGTTTTTCATCAAAAAGAGACTCTGGAATACAACTGTAGGGTGCTCCTTATGCTGCTTCCTGGAACAGAATAACTCTGAAGTCTTCGAAAAGGCAGGTCTATAAAGCCCCTTGTTTCCTTTCGAAAACAGACTGTGCAATCAGAAGCAAAGAGGCAGAATGAGGTCATTCTTCCTGTTAAGTAGCCTCACATCACAAGCATTCATTTTGAAGAGTAAACTGAAGATTAAGATTAGGCAAGTGAACAACTCTGCAGGGTGTTGCAAAATGCAAGATATGCCAGCTTTAAATAACGGTTTTCTATTCTATTTATATCATGGTGCACAAAATCAGCACCTTGTCTGTGATGCTTGTAAAAACAAGTGATACAACTTTTACCATGTCTTTTATTTATAAATCTGATACAGTTATGACTCAGTATACTTTACAGTCATGTATTCATATCACTTAGTATAACACTAATGTTGTGAGACTTGAAGGCTTTCATTGCATTACTATGCCTAAAATAATCCTATTTTACCCCCCAAAATCCCTGAATGTTAACAAAATCCCATCCAAGAGCACTGTTGTACAGAGGAAACATCTGTTAATATTTCATAGTTAAGTAACAGGTCAGTTGTTTTTCAACAACCACACCATGGCTGATCATAACAGAATTATGCAAATGTTAGGTAAAAGTGTTTTGGAGGATGAAATAAATATGGCCAGGGAAACATTTATAAACGAAACCATAGCCACTACACTTCAATGATGCATAAAACGACAGAAGAAAGAATACCACTAATTCCAACTGAACTAAATTTAGTCTGAAGGACTGACTAGTTTTAACAATCAGAATTATTGGATTGTAGAATAGTCTCCAAAGGGAAATGGTAGAAACCCCATCACTTGGGTAATTTAAAATTACACTGTTGTAGGGACCAATCCTATTCAGGTAGAGGAATAAAATGACCTGATAAATATTTTCTGTCTCTGACTGCTATGACGTTATGTATATCAGACAGAAGGATAATAGATGAATAGTACTGTAAAAGACAAATATGTAATATCCAACTTCATTTTCTTCCTGAAGAAAGTGAAAAAAATGCCTTCTGTTGATGTACTCACAATAAATGAAAGCAAGCTGCCAAGTTAAAAAAACACAGCAGTAATCTGACACAGGTTATTACAAAAGCCTTTCAGTATTGCCTCACCCATCTGAAATGTTTCACTTAAGGTCCTTCCACTCCATATGGAAAACTGAGGGCCAAATTCATCCTTGGTGGAACTTCCTTGACTTCAGTGAATTTACCCCAAGGATTAAATTTAGCCCCAAATGACTAATGCTTCCATGGTTGCATGAACTTTGCAATAGTCTGAATAAAACCACCACCAGCATGAAGTCTTCGTATAGTGGAACAAAGATGAAGGAAACCATTATCTGTTTTGATCTGAATGTCTTGTATTCCAGAAAAATATGCCTTTACTGTAATTTTACTAAGCACACAAGTATTAAAAATACACCTCTGTCTATGTTAAAGATGCACCGTCAACTTTAAACAAAATCAAATTCCTATCTGAAAATATTGTATTTATATTATAGTGACTCATGGTAGTAAACCTATAGTTAAGATTGAGTTCTAAAAGAGGGCATAAATTCCTGTTTTTCTCTAAAAGTAGGTGGCCTGTAGATATTGTGATAGTCCCAGATCAGTTGGGAACAGCAGAGTAGCAGAAGGGAGATATACTGGCCACTGGATAAGTAGTTTTCTGTTCCCTGAGTGACCAGAGCAGGGGCTGCTCCAGGCTAATAGACCACCTGACTCCAATTAACCTGCTAAGAGTCAGGTGAGGCAGTTGAGCACCTGACTCTAATTAAGGCCCCTCTAATGCAATAAAAGGGCTCACTCCAGCCAAGCCATGGGGAGCCAGAGGAGAGGAAGTGTGTGAGAGAGGAAGGGGGAGAGTAAGAGGTGTGCAAGAAGTTGAGAGTGAGTAGGCATACTGCTGGAGGACTGAGAAGTACAAGTGTTAGCTGACATCAGGAGGAAGGTTGGGTGGTGAGGACAAAGAAGGTGTTTGGAGGAGGCCATGGGGAAGTAGCCCAGGGAGTTGTAGGTGTGCAACTGTACCAGGAGGCACTCTAAACAGCTGCAGTCCACAGGGCCCTGGGCTGGAACCTGGAGTAGAGGGTGGGCCTGGGTTCCCCCATACCTCCCAACTCCTGATCAAACACAGGAGGAATTGATGTGGACTATAGCTTCTACCAGAGGGGAAGGTCTCTAGACTGTTTCCTGACCCACAGGGTGAATCTGTGAAGTGAGCAAATCTACCAATAAGTGCAGGACCCACCAAGGTAGAGGAGGAACTTTGTCACAATATGTTTTCTATGCTCTTTGAATTTTCTGTGTAGCTTTTTTTTTTTCACTTCATACATTTTTCAATAGGATGGCTCTGAAAATGAGCTCTGACTTATTTTCTGGGTAATCTGACCTTTCATTGTTGGCTGATAGAAGACTATATATTTTTAAAAATATATAGTCTATCTGCATAAGATTTGGTAGACATGTGCATCCTTACTAGATCTGGTGCAAGAGAGAAGAGTTTCATGATCAGATACACATAATAGAAGAAGGTTTATATACAGCTGCATTTTTACTCCTCAGTTTGCCCCCAAGCCACCTCACACTTGAAAGGCCCACTCTTCATTTAAACAATTAGAAAATGCTTTGTTATGAAGTGGTAACAAGGCTCTACACACGTAGCATATCTGACACAAAACCACAAAAGCAAGAAAACAAAAGGTTACGACACCTAGTAGTACATATCCTGTACTCTTCCCACAGACACACACTGAATTGTTGCCAAAACAGCTGTACACCACAGTCTGTGCACTGCAGCCATAACTATGTCCCCCTTGCAATGTCAGCCGCCTATCACTCGCTTTATCAAGTTACCCTGTCTCAACGCAACACACAACTACATCAAACAGAGGGTTAGGAAAGGGTAGATTGGTAATGGGGTGTGTGGAAAAAGGTGGGTTGGGGGGCAGAGTTATGACAGGGTGGGTATGGACTGGGGTGCAGTTATGGTAACAGTAAAATGTGTGCCTGTGAATGGAGGAGCAGAGGGTATGTACTCTAAATGGCTTTTGTTTTTTTGTATATTAATTAAAACAAAGCCTGATCAGTTGGAGGCAGTGGAAAGATTCTCATTGACCTCAGTGAGCTTTGGATCAGGCCCATAACACCTACAATGACTGTAACTTGCAAGGAAAAGAGAAATATTTTTTTTCCTCTATTTTTCACTTTGTTTACTTTGTGTATGTACAGTGCTTTCTGTATAGTTAGTTTAGCTGTATAGCCCTTCTTCCCTGCAAAGTCAACTAGGGCCTGATCCAAAGCCCACTGAACTCAATGAGAGATTTTCTATTGACTTTGATGGATGTTGAATCAAGCCCTTAGAGCTAGATCCACAAAGGTACTTAGACACCTAACTGCTTCTTTAGGGACATTATCAAAACAATTGCTCAGCTGCCATCTAACCCCATAGGTGCCAAAGTTACCACTACAGGCCTACTAGTTTCAGAGGGGTAGCTATGTTAGTCTGTATCAGCAAAAACAACGAGGAGTCCTTGTGGCACCTTAAAGACTAACAAATTTATTTGAGCATAAGCTGCCCAAATAAATTTGTTAGTCTCTAAGGTGCCAAAAGGACTCCTTGTTGTTTTTGGTTATTCAGTATCCCAGTTGTCTGGATTTTTGCCATTTATATTTGCTTTTGAAAAGAGTCTGCAACTGTATAAAACTAACTTTTAATTGCAGTTCAAGAACATATTGGCTCTGATTTTAATAATATTGTGTATGCAACTATATGAAGAAAATGTTAGTTTAAAAAAAATCCAAATCTGATTTTTTTCAACGTGATTAGAAAGAAAAACCCCGCTCTACCCTATCAAAGACCACCTAACTGTTTAGACTTAAGACAGTGCTTGTTCATTGTTTCAGTCTTCAATTAAACTTATTGTCACCTAACAATTTCTTCCCTGCTATAAAAACTCATCTAAACTGATAATTTTCATTAATACTTTCTCAAGCCTTAAACCTGTAGTTCTCGTGAACATTTTGTAATGCTTACTCAACAAGATTGATCTATAAGATACATGTCACTGGATCTTTATCTGGTATAAAAAAAGACATACTGTATTAAATTGTTGAAGAGTTTTCCATCTCAATTACATAGTTGAACAATTCCATGACTTGATCTGGAAGCACTTGTACAATTCTGCAGACTGTTTGTGGGAGCTTATGCTGGATGGTTCTGGTGGGCTATTCTGGCCTTGGCATCTGTGATTCTATGATTCCCATTCAACTCCTTCTTTCATGAGCTTGCCTACATAGCACTCAATATGCTGACATCTGCAACTCTGCATAAAGATGACTAATAAGATGCTTCAGGGTTTTAGCTGGTCACTAGCAGCGGTCAGGAAGGAATTTTTCCTTCACGGCTCAACTAGCTAGATATATTCTGTTTTGTTTCTCCCATCTTCCTATGAAGCATCAGAGACTGGCCACAGTTGGAGACAGGACACTAGACAGGGTGGACTGGTGCTCTGGACTGGTACAATGAATCCTCTTTTTAGATGCCTGACTGGTGTGCCTTGCTCATGTGCTGAGGGTCTTACTGGTCACCTGATTTGGGGCTGGGAAGGATTTTCCCCCCAGGTCAGACTGGTTGGGCCCTTAGGAATTTTTCACCTTTCGCTGCAGCATGGGGTGTCATTCATCTGTGCATCTCTCTTTTAACAGGGATGATTTGATTAGTCTGTAAGTGCCTTTATGAGGAACAAATATTTGGTAATAGAGGGTGTGATGCGTTCCCCCCCAGGGTGCCACTTGCAACTGCAGTACTACTGAGCCTGCCTAACCCACTAGCCTGAGCTCCCTTTCACACTGTGGTGCTGTGATAAGCTGCCAAGCTCTTATCACACCCAGCTGCAGCTTCACACAAAGATGCTGAGATCAGCTCTGCATGGGAAGGCTCAGCTAAGGCACCTCACAGTTGCCAAGGAATGCACACCCCTTGGGAGGGTAAACCCAAAATTATACCATCTTGCGGTGCACAGGGAACTGTACAGTGTAAGTTCATAAAATCTGCCCCCTCCCTCAATGTGGAGAGAGATATGCAACAGCTTTCTATCCCAAGTTATAATTTCCACACACAAAAATTAACTACAGAAGATAGATTTTAAATGATTATAAGTGATAGCAAACCGATCAAAACAGATTACCTTAGTAAATAAACAAAACCACAAACTGAGCTTAACACACTAGATAGGTAGGATATGGATTAGCAAATTCTCACCCTGAGTGATAAACAAGCTGGCAGATTCTTAAGGATAAACAAGCTGCCTTAGCTTTCTCAGGTTTCATACACAGGCTAAAAAGCCCTCTAGCCTGGGACCATCACTTCTCACAGTTCAGTCCTTGCCCATCAGGTGTGTTGTTGTTGTAGGGAGAGTGAGGTCCCATGATGATGTCATTTTCCCCCTTTTATATCTTCTTCCCACTTGCTGGAAAGCTCTTTTGCTGTGATGTGGGTCAAACAGTTCCCATTGTGTAGTGCTATCTCTGAGCAGTTTCTATTGTACACAGTTCTTGGGCTAATCCTTGTGTTTGTATGCATTTCTTCAATAAGCCATTAACATTGTTTGGCCTTTTTACTGTTGTACCTGAAAGGCTGCTGATGGGTGTTTTCAACCTCACAACAAGTTTCAGTAACAAATACATAGCCAAATTTAATAACTACATATGACAATAGCACAAACAATCCAACGAGATATTACTGTCTAGCAGATCAAGACTTCTAGAATGATACCTCACAACGCATACTGTGTACAAAACATATTCTAATTACATGACAGTGATGAATATTGGGGTGCCATGGTGTGTCAGAGGGCTCTTTAGTCTAGCAGATATAAGCATAACAAGATGCAATGGCTGGAAGTGGAACCAGACAAATGCAGATTAGAATTAAGGAGCAGATTTTAACAATGGATGGTAACTATTGAAACAATTTACAAAAGGCTTCCGTATACCTAGATATTTTTAAATGAAGAAAATTGGATGTTTTTCTAAAAGATAAGCTGTAGTTCAAACTGGAATTTGGGGAAGTCCTGTGGCTGTGTGACGCAGTGTCAGACCAGATGATCACAGTGGTCCCTTAAAAACAAAAAGACAGACATTCAAAGCATCTTATTTCTGTTTTGGTCCAGTAAAGAATAGACAACTGTATATTATTTTTATTATTGAGTGTGCAAAAAACCCAACATCCCTACATAAATAAATTACAATGATTTGGACATGTATATGTGCATATGTATTTGTTTTTCCTAAAGTTAGTTAAATATTAAGAAAAATTGTCAGTGGCCACCAGCAAGAGTTTGTGGCCGCACCAAGGGCGTTGGAACGGGGGGGTGGGTCAGGGGGCCATGGCCCTCCCAACTGTCCACTTTTTGCCATGGGCCTCCACCTGCCAGCCAGGTAGGCTGGCAGCTGGAGCCTGGCTGTGGTGTCCGGGCAGCATGGGGCACCATGCCGTGGACCTTCCACCTGCCCAGGGTGAGGGGGCTGAGAGCAGCCCCTAGTCCATGTCCCTGTCCCCTAGGCCCCCCGCCCATGGCGGTGGAGGGCCGCACCACAGCTCCCCACAGCTGCTCGGCTGTGTGGCTCTTACCATGGCCGAGTTGTGGCTCCAATGCCCCATTCCCCGGCCAGAGCAAGCCACACTGGCAGTTGTGGGGAGCTGCAAACCCTCCACCTGCCCTGGGTGGAGGGGTCGGTGGCACAGGGACACAGGCTGGGGACTGCTCTCGGCTCCCCCACCCCAGGCAGGTGGAGGGTCCATGGCTCCCTGCCTGATCTGGCTTGGCCAGGGGCAGGGCCTTGGGCAGAAGGGGCAGAACCATGGGGAGCCCTCGCCCCCCCACCCCCCCACTTTTGGGAAGGATCTGCCACCCCTGGGCTGCATTCTGAGGCCACCAAAAATTTTGTTGTGAGAACCCTTAGCCCATACTTTGTGAAACCCTTTAGGAATGAAAGTTGCCATATCAGTATCAGATGAAACACTTTAGACTTTCTCCTGCTGCTATTTCCAAGGAGATAGCAGCATCCAGAAATTTTTGTGCCTCTTCTTCGCCTGACTTCAGCATCTAGAAAACGCCATGCATTACTAGTGGTCATCCTACTGCTGTAAACCTGCTATAAACCTTACCATGAGCCAGGCAACAATTCACTCCTCCAGTGTCCATCACAATATTAAACCATAAACTTATCCCCAACCCCTTCCTCATCTCTTCCAAAGCTAATACCACAGACACCAAGAGTGCAAAATACTGAGCTTCTCCGTGCCCTCCTCTTCATCAACCACCCAAGAACATTAAACCCTGACCCCCTCCCCCAGCACCTTCCTCATCTCCACTCATACCGTAAGCATCCCTCCCACCAAACAACACTAAACACTGAAGCTACCTTCTCACATACCTGCCAATCTAACACTGCTATTCAACAATACTGACACCACACTCAGCCTGCTCTTAGCTAGGACTGGTGAAAAATGAAAAAAAAATTAAAAATCACTTTCATTCTGCAGGTTTCTAAAAGGTGTAATTTTCTGTTCAGTCCACATTTTTCACAAGTATTTTTATTTTAAAAAATTAACTTTGAAATGAGTTTTTTTGTGCTTCTCCCTCCTCCATTTTTCTCCTCCTTCCCCAAGGAAGGGAGGGGGGGAGGGGAAGTGAGAGAGAAATCAAACACCCAGTACCCCAAAGTACTTCATGTGAGTGGGGTCCTTTGAAACAGAAACCAATAAAACTTGATGTTTCAAATAAAAAAATACCAGCCCCCAAGGATAGGCCATGCACCCAGAGGCAGTGCTGGCCCATTGGAGGCCCTCTCCTTACCCTTCACCTCCCAATGCAAAAAGTATTTTTTATTTCCACAAACCAAACAATATACGCTTGTTCAAAACTCCATGTTAAATAAGATTAGTGGTATTTGGGGGGTAGTGCTAAATCAGGACCCCCATAACCTGCTAGGGGCCTTAAGCAATTGCTTAGTGTGTGTATGCTTAGCACCACTACTGCATGCACCCCAGCCTCAATATCTCTCCAGCAAGATTTCAACAAGCTCAACACCTAACCTCTTCAACCAATGGCAACCCTTTACCTGCCTTTACTCAAAAAAGCCAGGGCTAATCCCATCCCCATCATTTCAGCCCTTACCGCTCCCTGCTTACTCATCCCAGGCCTTTCCTATGCCACCCCCATAACACTGACCCTCATCCCCCCACAGCTAACTTGTACCCCCAAATCACCCCTCCTCCCACTCCACAAATGACCTCATCCCCTTACTGCTAATTTATACCCCAAGCCACCCCTAATCCCCTCACTGCTCTTATACCCCAAACCACCCCTCTCACCCCCATAACACTGACCCTCATCCCCCACTGCTCTTATACCCCAAACCACCCCTCTCTCACCTCCATAACACTGACCCTCATCCCCCACTGCTCTTATACCCCAAACCACCCCTCTCTCACCTCCATAACACTGCTCTTAAACCTCAAAACACCCCCTCACCCCATAACACTGATCTCATCCCCCTACTGCTAACTTATACCCCAAACCACCCCTCTCTCACCTCCCTAACACTGACCTCATCCCCCTAAAAGTTTATAGTCCGGTCCCCACTCTAAGCTCTTACCTCCCCCCCCCCACGCCCCTGACCGCACCCCACACAACACCAAGCCTAGCGTGGCCCCGCCAGCCTTTCACACTCCCCCACCCCCGCTTATCGCTGTTCCAGTGCCTGTGCCCCGCCCCGCCGTAAAGCGGGTGTCGCGCCGCTGCTCCCTGGTCACGTGAGGGGGTGATGGCGGCGCCCTGCCCCGCCTCGGCTTGTCGCAGGGAGGTGACGGAGCGGCTGGGCGCTGGGGCGCGAGGGGCGGGGCGCAGGCAGAGGGGGACTATGGGGCTCTGAGGGAGGTGCACCCCGCCGCACCGAGCTGCTCACCCACCGTCCCCGGTCGGAGCGGGAGGCGCCGCGGCGTGCGGAGCCGGCTGGGCTTGCGGCTCGGGCTCCGGGCCGGGCTCGGGGCCGCGACAGGCCCAGCTGCTGTCCCGAGAGGCGGAGAAGGCGGTAAGGAGTCCAGGGGCAGAGGGGTACGGGCCGGGCTCCCGGGCCTCTGTCCCTCCAGCCGAGCCTGGGCCCCGGGTGTCTCCCGCCTCCCCTGCACCTGCGCAGGCAGAACCGTGGCCTGAGGCTTCTTCTGGGCCGGTTCCTGGGGAGCTTTCCCCGCGGAGCCGGGGCCTGGGGTTTTAAACCTCCCTTTGCCCCAGAGGGGGCTGATGCCTGGGGGCTCCATCTTTCCCTCCCCCCTCCCGACAGAGACCCAGAGCGGCCTGGGGTTCCCCCTCTCCCCTCCAGAGACAGAGCCGCCATGGGGATCCTCCACTGCCCCTGACAGAAACAGATGGGTCCAGGGCCTAGGGCATCCCCTACACCCCACCCTTCCCCAGCCCAGACAGTCACACTGGCCCAGGGGCTGGGTGATTTTCTACACACTCCCACCCTCCAGAAAGACATCTAGACAGACCAGGGCTTGGGGGATCCCCTACATCCTCCCCAACCCCGATAAACTGAGTGGCCCAACTCCTGCGGCGCTCCCTCCCGCACCCCTGAGCCCAGATGGACCCAGACCAAGGCCTGGGTGTTACCCCCAACACAGACCAGCCTAGGCCTTTGGGGGGACCTTTATGCACCATATGATTTTAAATAGAGACATCATCAATTTAAAACTGGTCCTTTTGGATGAAATGTTATCTGCTATGGTTGCACATAAGATGCAAGATTATTGACAGAAAGCTTATAGGAAAATCAATATTTTTCTCTGTATTGTCAGTTTATGTTGTTCATTAGCTGGTACATTTCTATAGTTATGCTTTCCTCTGTATAGTCAGTCACTTTCCCCTTTTGCTTGTGTGGCCTTTTGTACAGCAACAGGGCAGGGGGGGAAACATAAAACTAGGAAAATGATTATAAAATCACTAAAGCTGTTGGGGAATTAGGGCCAAATGTATTATTAGAACACATTTGTATCTCATTTTTCAAAGTAAATAGATTGCAGATTGATGGCGTAGCTGTTTGTGGGGGGATTAAGGAATACTATTTGTATATACTTTTTATATTATTATGCACAACAGTCTAAACATTTCCAGTTTTAGTGCACCACTAGATCCTATAGTGACAAGTGCTATCATTTATAATAGATTTGTATCTCTTCACTTGATTAAAATATATTCATTTGGAATGCTATTTGTATTTTTAACAACAGTGCTTTCTGCTTTGCAATATAAAAAAATATTTTCTCTAAAAGTAGGGGGAAAAAAGAAAATAGAAGTTATCAAGATGAGTAAAAAGCCTCCAAGTCGTCCAGGGATCACGTTCGAGATTGGTGCTCGTTTGGAAGCACTGGACTACTTACAGAAATGGTAAGGAAGACATCATGCAATGCTTAATTAGGTCAAAAATTTATTTCACCTGTATTGTGAGCCGTCTTTAGCGTCAATTGTTTGATATATTAATTTTTAATACAAACCAATCAGTCCATATACTAATTTGATGAGTATCCTTATTTAAAAAAAAATACAACTAAAACAATTATAGAATTTTAGGAAAACATCCCTCAAAAATCAAATTGAAAGAAAATATTAGTTATTTTTTCTTGCATGGCTATCTTGTATTTCTAGTCATGATCCTTTTTCTAGACCAGGGGTAGGCAACCTGTGGCACGCATGCCAAAGGCGGCACGTGAGCTGATTTTTCAGTGGCACTCACAGTGCCCGGGTCATGGCCTCCGATCTGGGGGGCTCTGCATTTTAATTTAATTTTAAATGAAGCTTCTTAACCATTTTAAAAACCTTATTTACTTTACATACAACAATAGTTTAGTTATATATTATAGACTTATAGAAAGAGACCTTCTAAAAACATTAAAATGTATTACTGGCACGTGAGACCTTAAATCAAGAGTGAATAAATGAAGACTCAGCACACCACTTCTGAAAGGCTGCCAACCCCTGTTCTAGACATTAGTTTGTTCTCTTTGGTATTCCTCAGCTAATATGTTTTACCATTAAACCATTCCCTCCATAAACTTGTCTAACTTAATCTTAAAACCAGACAGGTCCCTTGCCCCCACCCGTTTGGTGGGGGCAAGGGACCTGTCTG